AAGAGGCTAAGTTACAGAAGAAGGAGCCACCAATAAAAGAAAGATCTTCTTGATGGTAAGAGCTGGAAACAGGGTAAGGATGATGGGGTAAAGTCAAGGGCCCCCAGTCTCCCCACGGTGGTGTAGATCAGCTCTGCGCAAAGGCTGTGTGGAGACCAGGGCTCCTCTCAGGAGCTGGCAGACCATCAGGTGAAGGCCTGAACCCGCATGTGGAGTCAGGGCTCCCGCACTCCACTGCTGGCTCCTCTCCCGTGGGTCTCCGCCTCCCTCAGCTGCAAACCCAGAGAACTACCTCCCAGGCCTGCTGTGAGGCTTTAAGCAAACAGCAAATAGGAAGCTACTCATGGCCCACCACAAAAATGCAAGGCTTGCCTTTTGGTTCAGGGTTCACATTCTAACTTACTCCTCACATGCCCTTGAATGAGTCACTGAACCTCTCTGAACCTTGTTCTTATCTCTCCCTACTTTGCAGGATTGTTGTGAGGCCTGGCAATAATATATGCCAGGTGCCTTGCACCCATTACCTGCTCCAAGAACAGTTCCTGCTTGGAAGGGGAGGAATAAGAGCAAGTGAGCACAATGGGTGTTGGGGGTAGAGGTGGGTGTTGTTGGAAATGTCACGACTGGTGCAGGATCTTGATGTACTAGAAACGGCATCCATGCAGCCCCTTCCCTCTCCTGCATCCATAGCAGACATCCCCAGTTGACAGTGGATATTCTTCCCTACAAGGCCAGCATGTGGCCTCAGAAAATGCTTTGTTCTGAGCAGTCAGTCCAAGGGAGTTGTTATGAACATGAAACCTGGTTGCCACCAGAGATTTCGTTTTCTTGAACAAAGATCAAAGATGCAGAATAGCCCCTTGGAGGAGGAGAGGTCATGTGTCCCTAATAGCAGCCATGATCTCACAATTTGTGCCCCATGCCCAATGGACACCAACGGTGGAGGGGTGAGTGACAGTGTGACTTCTCTGCACCGTATACAGTATGCTCTGTTCTGAGCTCCACCACTTACTTGCTCTGTGACCTGGGACACAGCTCACTTCACCCTTTTGAACCTCAGTTTTCCCATCTGTGAAATAGGAGCACCACTACCTCACTCATGGAGTTGCTAAGGAGCTCAAATGTACTGATGTATAGGAATGAGCTCACATGAAGAGATAAGCAACTCCCATGTATCAGGAGTTCTTTGGGGAAGAATGTCCCACTCTGTGGTTAGGGAGGGGAGGACACAGGCCACAAGAGGCTTTGACGAGATTTGCCAGCTCTCCTATACCCCAGGGCAGACACTGGGCCCTGAAGACGAGGAGACCCCAAAATCCTATTTCCCAGGCAGATCCCTTTGAGATCCAAGGCAGCCAACTGTACTTCGAGGTAGGTTGCTCTGATCAGGCACCTTGAGACTGGAGCTATGGACTCTGCCAGGAAAGAGGGGCTCTCAAAGATCCTCCAGGTCAGTATCTAGGACAGGAGACCTGGGTGAAATACATGTCCCGGACTCCTAAAGTCCAGACAAGGGGACTGAGCAAAGAACAGGCCAAGACCCTTTCTTTCTAATGCCACTCCCCAGGCTAACACCCTTCGGCAATTCCTCTTCACCCACAGATGGAGTCAAAGAGAACTTGAGGGCCAGCCCTACCTTTTCCAACCTCACCTTCAGAATTCCTCTGTCCTCAACCCATTGCTCCAGCCATCCTCTCAAATGAACCAGACTCTCTCACGCATACTTCCTGACTTTTGCAAGTACTGTTGCCTTTTGCACACACCCTACCCCCATCCACCAAATCCACTTAACCAAATTACTTTTTTACTCATCCTTGCAAATGAAAGACTTTCCAGGGCTCCTGACTTTGGGTAGTATAAGCCTCTCTTACACCTTCCGTTGGTGTAAGGGACTTTTCTCCTTGGCACCTTTCTCCTTCATCATAGTATTGATTACAGGTAGACTGATAGCAATCTGAGGGCAGCATTGGGTCTTATGTCTGGATCCTCATGGCTTAGCAATGTGCCTGACACCATAAATAGTACTCAGTAAGGATTAGTTGAAGGAATAAATGAATAACCAGTGAGAGACACTGTCAGGTATGATGTCACATTGCAAAATATAATGTTTTAACAATTCTTTTGTTCTCTTTTTCTTTCCTTTTAATCTTTTTCTTGATTTACTATAATCAGCAAACTTTTCATTGGTTGTCATTGCCAGCTCCCTGGTACGTTCAGGAAAAGAAGGTCTCAGATCCGTGGGGGATAGGGGGCTTGTGGTCACTTTCAAGCCATGAAAAGTGTGATATTAACATAAAATAGCACAAGGGCCCCTGGGTGGCACAGTCGATTAAGTGTCATGATCAAGCCCTGCATCAAGCTCTGAGCTCAGTAAACAGTCTGCTAGTTTCTCTCTCCTTCTCCCGCTGCCCTTCCCTGCGCTCTCTCTCTCTCAAATAAACAAATAAACCTTAAAAAAAACCCATAAACTAGCACAAAACTTTAGTGACAATGTGCTCCTCTGACTCAAAGATTATACAAAAACTATAAAATTAGTTGCAGAAATAAGGGCAAAAGATGGTCTTTTGTTCTGTCCACATACCCCCTCTAGTGTCAAAAACTCAAAGTAAACTAAGGAAGGAAAAGAATCCCATTGGGTCCCATCTGTCTCCCAAAGCCTCATTCACCTGCTTTAAAAAATACATTAGAGTTCCTTCATATCACCTATTCTGAGAGAAAAGGACCCATGTAGGGGGTGGTCCAGGCTGCATCTTCTCCCCTTGAAGTCACCAGAGTTACATTCACAGAGCTGGAAGGCCACTGGCCATCTCTTGCAATTATGTCCAACCTGGGTTCCCAGACCTCTAGGCCTCAGAAGAAAAAGTACTGGGGTCCTCATGAGGGACCTGGGATTTCACAATGCCTGAGGAAATTGTGCCAACACTGGAGATGAAAGAAAACCACCCAAGAAACTGGCAAGTGTTTTTGCCTTCAGGACATTATCCGCTTGGTGTTGGATCAGCACTGCATATCTCCCACTCGCTAAATGGTAGTTATCTATGTCTTAAAATACTCAAAAATAGGAAAATAAGTAATGGTTTCATATATGTGGTTGGTAAAGAGTGTGAAATATGTTTAAATTTGGGGCTCATAAGAGCAAAAATATAATAAAAGTGGCCCTTCACAATGAAAAAGCTAGGACCCACTTCCCTGCTAAGCTATTGGCCTCTAAGATGTGGATAAACCAGGCTGCTTTCAGAGAGACAGCACTTCTCATGGCCAGGCCACCTCATCAGACATTGGGAGGAGCAATGATTCACAAGCCTGTACTAGTGAATGGCAAATAGTGTTTCCTGGAAAGGTACTCAAACTGGCTTTTATCAGTTTGGGCTTAAAAACATTCAAAATCTCCTGAGAATTTATTGTACAAACCCAATTCCTTAGTCTTTTTATTCTTGTTTTCAGCATTATATCCCCCAATTCTGCCCAATCTTCCAAATGACTTTGGTGCCCCTATCAGGTCTCCTCACCAAACTATGACTATATTTTGAACATTTATTGATTCATTCAACACATATTTACCAAAGGCTCATTAGGGGCCAGGCATTATGCCAGGTGACAGATGTGTCTCCACCATCATGGAGGATACAAATAAGAAATACAAGGGCAAGGGCAGGAACATGGGTCCCTCAGGAGTTCCATGAAAGAGAATACGATTAGCCCTGCTTTGGTCATTTGACTAATCAACACTTTACTTCTGTTGCAGTTTTACACTGATGTAAATAATAACCAGTAAGTGTGAAGTCAGGTACACTTTTTTCCATAATCATTACTTAAGGTAATTAAAAATATCGTGGTCCCACTAACTGGTCTATATCTTCCAGTAGTCTGTGAGCTCCTCCAGAACAGTGATCATCATATCATTTGACAGAATTACAATCATACTGGATATACATACACATATGTATATATCATTACTTTAATATATGTGTATATGTAAATAATTTTTTAAAATAATGACTATATCATATTAATGATTATATAATATTCCATGATTGTATAATATTCCCATTTGAATAACAGTTCCAACTATATGATTGTATAGTATTCCAACTTGGGACATTTGTGCAAGTTGCTGAACCACATTGAATACTTAGATTATTTCTAATTTATTACTATTATAAATAATATTCCATGGGTTATAATTTTTAAAAATCTTAGCTACAGATATGACTACTTTTTCTTAGGATAGATTTTTAGAAGTGAACCTCTGCCTATTCACTTCTTATAATTTCATATATATTATTAAATTGCTTTCCAAATGTACTAATTTACACACCTGCCAGCAGTGTGAGTGACCCTATCTAATTGCATATTTGCTGGCATCGATTATTTTTTTTAACTTTAATAGGTAAAACTGGTATATCTTTATGTTTGCTCTTTTCATTTTCCTGGTGAGTTTAAGCTGTTCCTTTTTTTCCTTCGGTTTTTTAATAGCCTTATATTTCCTTTCCATAAATTGCCTGTTAAAGTCCTTGCCCACAGGAATCAAGTGTTGTTCCTTTAATGGGCCTCAGTGCTTAGAAAGGTCTTGTTATGCAGCCGACGCTTACAAAGCTTTGAAAACAAATAGGTAGGAAAATCCAGGGGTAACTGTTTACATCCTTTATGAGAATAATTAAGCCTCTAAAACCTAACGACTGTGACCACTTTAGAATTTACGAAGAATATATTAGCATACTTGAACCCCACAACTACTGTGTACTGTTATTTTCAGCATTTTTACCGTGTGTTACAAAGTCTGAAGTAACAGGTCTCAGAGGGGTAAGCGGTGAAAATCAGGTCCACTCTGGAAACAGAAATTGTTTCCCTCCAGACAGGGACTAAACCAACTGAAGTTCGTCCTCCTGTACACAAGAGGGCGAAGCAGTAGGCCATGAAGCCGCACGAATAAGGGCCTCGTTGGACTACATTTCCCAGGTTTCTGCGCGATCCCCCGGAATGCTCAGCCGAGGAGGATTTCAGGTCCCAGGTTGCCCGGCGGTAGGCTGCGACTCCGTCTCCCACCCAGGCGCGTAATGGCTCCTGGCTTTTCCGGGGAACCTCTGCTGTTGAGCTGTACCTCATTGCTAGGGAACGGGCACTGGAAGGTCTCAGACACGGTCCCGCTTTCTTAGGGCGGTAACGTCCTGCGCCGGTTGGGAAGGGAAGGTGGGAGGAGCGGAGCCGCTGTGAACCATGCTCGTGAGCTGTGGGTCCGTCTGTGAAGAAGCCCACCTTTGCCGGACGGCGGCTGGAGTCTGCGCTGGCCCTGTCTTGTGTGGCAGGCGGAAAACTACACTTCCCAGCATCCTCGCGGTGCGAGAACTACCTTGCCCGAAAGTCTGAGCGTGATTCAGCCAGCCTTTCGCCTCCTCCCGCCAGCCCGAAAACAGGAAATGTGGGGTCGTTGTGTTTGGCGGCTGCTGCGACCTGAGGGCCGTGGGAGCCACCGGGTTTCGAGCCTCGGCGGGGATTTTTCGCCGGCCCTGCGAAGAGGTGAGACGAGGCAGCTTGTCACCGAAGCCTGAGTGCTATCTGGGGAGACTGCCTGTGGTTCTTGCCTGCTCGGTCGCGCGCGAGGCGACAGTGCCACGCCCCTTCCAGCCCCGCCTGGTGCAGGCGACCCCGCGGCTGGTCTCGCCAGGTTGTAGAGCACCGCCTTCTCCTCTGAGAGCCTGGGGTTCCCACCTGGTTCCATCACTAGAGTGTGCCCCGCCCCGGCTTCTTTCTCAGGCCTTGTTTCCTTCTTACTGTCTAATGGGGCTGGCAGCCCTCGCCTTCTGGGAGGTATGTCAGGAGCAGTCCTGTGTTCTGAGAGTTCTGGTTTCTCTCGTGGCCTGTTCACACCTAGGCTGTGTTATTTGAGTGCTGTCTTGAGCCCACGTTTTTGGTAGACCACAGCATACATGTCAGGCCAGCTTTATTTCGCTGTAATTTCTAGTACTCTGCAATCACATAGTAGCCATTCAAAGCAAAACAAAACGTGAATGCCGGAACCTGCAAGTGTTGAACTTGGTGGCACCCCTGTTAGCATTGTGTCCTGAAGGACGTCAGACTTGATGCTGAAAGATGATTCTAGACTCCATCTCCTCTCACCTTTTTTAAAAAACTCTGTAAGGTTGTCTACACAATAGGCACTTCGTACTAACCTTATCATTCCATGTTCAACCTAAATCTTCAGTGCCATGTAAAATGAGCCACCCAGTGCCCACTGTACTTTGTGCCATTCTGCTAATTCATTTCACTCACACAGATTGCAGTTGTAGATCGCCCATCTGTAAGACTGCTGTTGAGCTCCCAGTGTCTGTCACAAGGTATTTGGTTACATATTTAGGTGTTGGGTATACTTTTATACATTATGATGGATTTTACAAAAAGGAGATAGCATTTTTTGAACCCTAGGAAATCACCCCATTTTCAATCTAATCGTTGTAAATTTTGAGAGATAATGTGTTTTTGTTTGAATATGTAAACAATATTAAACAATTTTGGAGAATGAACTTTGAAGTACTAGAAAATACTTTAATAAATAAACAGTGTTGTCTTAACATATTTGTTTAGTTACCCTACTTGAATCTGACTTTCTTGGAGAAATCTTAAGTGGCCCCTTACAACTAATATGATTTGTGTCCCTCATCACTGAACAAATAGTAATTGAATGCTTACTGTGTAGTTTAAACTTGCCTAATAATGTCGGTAATGAAGGAACTTAAAAACCTTTACCTGGACCTATGGAAGGATCTCAGTTATTTAGTCCAATATCCTTTTTAAAGATAAATAATAGAAGGCATGGGAAGGTGATGCAGTTTGTCTAAGTTTTAATAGTGCTGGATTCCTAGTTCATTACTGCTTCCCAAATTTAGCAGAATAGAAACCCTGGGGATACTTTCTAAAAATATGTAGTTTTAAGCCCTACTCCAGAACTACTGAGTCAGTCTTCAGGGGTGGAGACCAGGGATCTCTGTGTTACTTATTAATTCTGATAATTCTGATGTAGCTAGCAAAGCGCCTGCCAACAGACCAGCATATAGAAATATATATTAATAACCAGCTATGTCACTAAAGTATTGCAGCTGTAAAGTTAGCAGTAAGTTAATATAAAACTTGTAGCTTAGTTTTAATGAGACAGCATTTTACATGTATTATCGAAAGTAAAATATGGCCTTTCCTGGCAAAGAGGCAGTTTGGTTCAAGGTAAGTCAGAGTGCTAATCCAAGATACACAGTTTAACAGCTTCGTGATGCTGGTTAAGTCTTTAAATGGAGTTTGTTTCTCACTTTAAGAAAACTACAAGATAGGTATGAAAGGAGCGGTTTGGGGTTTTGTACAATTGTATAAGTCTGGGAACTTCTAAGGTATTAAGGATCTGTTATCCCACCCTGAGCTAAGAACAGTGATTCTTGTTACTTCATCCTCTACCTGTTAATATGCTTGCAAAGACTTATTCTTAAAAGTGCTTATGAGGAAAAAATAAAGTGCTTATGAGTTGAAGTCTTGTGAAGCCCTACTGTGGATATCAAAGCTTTTCCATTTCCTTATTCCCTCCAAAGAAGAGTGCTCTCTAAAGTCCTACTGCAAGGGAGGGTGTTAACACCTACTTCTTAGGATTGTGAGGACTTAGCCAAAGATTACATAACTATTTGAGTACACCTAAGGAATGAATGTTCCACAGATCTTTCTCTATTCTCGTTTCTTCTCATCCCCATAGTAAATAGAGCCCAAGGTAGAAATAGCAAAGGCAGCTCTTGCCTTTGTGAATTTTGCTCATCCTGTTCCTCCTGTCTGGCTTTAAAATTTACCGTAACCTAGTATCTTTTCCAAATAGCCATTTTTAGAAACTTTTATTTTATTTAAATTCAATTAATTAACATATGGTGTATTAGTAGTTCAGAGGTAGAGTTCAGTGATTCATCAGATGCATATAACACCCAATGTTCTTTATGTCATGTGTCCTCCTTAATGCCCATCACCCAGTTACCCCATCCCCCCACCCTCCTCCCCTCCAGAAACCCTCAGTTTGTTTCCTGAGAGTCTCTTATGGTTTGCCTCCCTCTCTGATTTCATCTTAATTTATTTTTTCTTCCCTTCCCCTATCATTCTCTGTTTTGTTTCTTAAATTCCATATGAGTGAAATCATATGATAATTGTCTTTCTCTAGAAAGATTGACTTATTTCACTTAGCATAATACCCTCTAGTTCCATCCACATTGCTGCAGAGGGTAAGATTTCATTCAAATAGCCATTTTTTAACCCTTTATTCTCATCGAGGACCAAATATTTCTCTTCTGTATTCCCTTATGGATATATTTGATAGCACATGAGTTAAAACCAAAGCCTTGATCTTCATTGTACCTACAATACCTAACACAGTTCCTGTCAATCAGCAAATGGCTGCTGAGCACCCAGAATTGTATTAGGCATGGGGGATTCCATGATGAGCAAGAACAGGTATGGTTCCTGCTCACAGGAACCTTACCATCTTAGGCAGTAGTAGTCAGTTTTTCTGTAACCAGCCAGGTTATATTGTAGGCATTGTGAGCCATACAGTCACTTGATACTATTCTGGTCTTGGTAGCATGAAAGCACCCATAGGTGTAAAAAGGACTGGCTATTTCTTTTTTATCATTTGAACTTAGAGTCATATTAGATACTGTTTTTTAAATTCTCATGTTTTTCATTCATAAGTGAATGAGCATGGCTGTGTTGCAATAAAGCTGTTTAGAAAAATAGGTGGTGATGGCCTGCAGGCTGTGGTTTGTTGACAGGGGAACTGTGGTTCCCCACCAGGGGAACCTGGTGGGAAAGGTAAGCAGTTAACAATCATATAAATGTGTAAATTGTGAGGTGCGGCAAAATAATGTTCTAGGATCCTGTGAAAAACCCTAACAAGAAAACACCTGACCTAAAGGAGTTTGGACAGGCCTTCTGGTGGAGGAGACATTTGAACTGAACACTGAAGGATAAATATGAGCAGGCAAAGAAAAGGGGAACTTTCTTAAATTATTAAGAGAATTAAAGAATTAAGAATCCTTGAGAGCGGAGGGCCAAATTGAGCACAGTGGGACATGAGATTGCAGCTGCACCCGGCAGAGATTTGCAGCAGTGGTAGGTATTTATTTGGTCTCTCTCCCATATCAGTGGGAAGCTTCCCTTTGTGAAAGGAAGAATTGTGCACTAATCTGCCTAGCTCTGAGACCATAAGATCTCAGGCAGTTACTTTGCATTTCTGAACCTGTTCTTCTTATCCATAACATGAGAATTTTAAGGATAAATAATAGGTGTGAAAGTAGTATCGTGTTATATAAATATTACTCCCCCCCCCTTGCCCACGGTAAACCCCAAATAAAATACTAAACTTCTAATCAAGGATGGGTAACTGTGGGTACTAATCATTCCTAATGCAATTGTTATTGGAAATATTACTGAAATCTGCCCCTCTTTTTCCTCTAATATTTTCTTTTCTCTTCCTTAGGTCTAATATTGACACACAAAGGCACATTGCTTAACTCTTCTAGATGGCACTCAGCCAAAAAGATTGCTGACCACTGCGCTGTGTGTGTGTATGTGCACGTGTGTGTGTGCAAAATTGATCCATCTTTACATCTGATTCCTATTACCTGTAAACAGAATTTATCTGAGTATTTGAATGAATTGATATAAAGGACTGGCCATTACTTTTTCATCATTGAATTTAGAGTTTATGTTTAGATACTGTTTTTAAACATCTCTTTCCTGCCTACTAGTCCACAAAGTCAGCGAAGACATCAGTTATGTCTGGTTTTGCACATCATCCCCCAGGCCTGGTGCTCAAGTATTTGTTGCTGAAAAGATACATAGGAAAGAAATACATTTTCCCTACACTACCTAGCAGAAACATAATACCTGAGGTTGCAGCTATGTCTTTTAAGTACCTAGATAACTTAAGCAATTTAGGATAAAAAAGAGACAGCATAGGGTGACAGAAAGAGCATGAGCTTTGGAGTCAGAAGACCTGAGTCTCAATTCTGATTCTGCCAATGACTCTGTAACTTTAGGTAAAATGCTTTATCTTTTCTAGGTTCAGTTTTCTTTTCTAAAAACATAGATAATATCACCTTGCGTTCATAGTATGTAAAATATCTGGTATATGGGGTGCCTGGACGACTCAGTCTGTTAAGCATCTGCTTCAGCTCGGGTCATGATTCTGGGGTCCTGGGATCAAGCCCTGTGTCGGGCTCCCTCTTCAGTGGGGAGTCTGCTTCTCCCTCTGCTCCTCCCACTGCTCGTGCTCACTTGTTCCCTCTCTTTCTCTTTCAAATAAATAAAATCTTCTATGAAAAATATCTAGGATAGTACCTAGTGTTCAGTTAATAGTTACACTAATTAGCTGTTATTTTACTTAGTACATGATAATAGTAATGAAGTTGTATATAGACAGAGTTCTGAAAAAGAATGAAATCTTTTAATGAAATTCATCAGTAATATATGGAAAAGGACCATACTGTGTCTAGGTTAAAAATTGGGAATTTATTAGCTTTGTGCAGTGGCAGTATCGTAGCCAGTGAGGTTCATCCGAGGTGTGATTATTGCTAATTGGAAAATTGGGAATTTATTGAAATGGGACAATTTATTGCAAAAATGAGAAATTTGCTAGAGCTTTTGTGTTGACAGTAGTAAATACCCCAGGATTTAAAATCAAATACATTGATTGATTCAACAGTAAAATATTGTGACCCAGTTAACTGCCAAGCACCTTTCTAGGTACTGAAAGTACAGTGAAGAAAAACCCAAAGTGCCATGGAGCTGACATTCTGGTTCAGAGAGACAAACCAGACGATTATAGATTAGAGCTGAGAACTATGATGGAAATAAAATGGATATGTAAGAGAGTGGGCATTCAAAAAGCTACTTCATATGGGGATGTAGGTATAAATAGCTCTATGAAAAACTTCTGAGCCCCTAGGAGAGTTGGGTGGTTTCCACTCTTCCAGTAATGAGAGACATGGCAGTGATATCCAAAGCTTTTGATGTATAGTACAACTTTTGACTGACTCTTAAATAAAATATATCCGAAAGAAGGAAAGGAAACATTCATTCAATGTTTGCCATGTATAGAATAATGTTAGAAACTTCTCAGGTAAAAGAGTGGGCCGCTCAGAAGAATCCGTTTTCTTCCTTGAAATTATAGAATTCCTAGGAGCTGGAACTGTGTGGTAAATAATGCCTTAGAAGCTAAAGTGTCACACTTGTGTTGGTTACTACAAGGAAAAAAACCTGTCTTCCTTTTTCAGACTTCTTCACCACCACAACCAAGGAAGGATATGATATGAGGCGAGTGGACATAACTCCTTTAGAACAAAGGAAATTAACTTTTGATACCCATGCACTGGTTCAGGATTTGGAAACTCATGGTGAGAAATGGGTACCTCTTGAAAGAAGAATATTAACAACAGTCACAGTAAATTACCTAGTGAAGTCAATATCATTCTTATGAACAATTAAGAGTCACTTTAAATACAAGTGCCATCCATACAGTGGAATATTCTACAGTCATAAAAATGGTGTTGAGGAATATTTACTGATATGAGAAATACTCAGATTAAGTGGAAAAAAACATATAAAATTACATGTGTAGTATGACTTCAATTATGTAGAAAAAAACTAGTTTCTAGGCTGATACTAAAGTTCACATGGAAGTGCAAGGATAAATTATTCTTAAATATCTTATTCTTAAATAAGAATAGCAAAACAGAAAAAGAACAAACAAAAGATTACCAGGTATCAAAACAGTAAGTTAAATTATGTGATAGTACAGGAATAGAAAAGTTGATTAATAGAATGGTATTCAGATAGATATAGACATTTTTAGTGAAAATGAAGGTATTACAAATTAGGGAAAGGAAGGGCTATTTAATAAATTGATAGGATACATCACTAGCTGTTTGAAAAAATAGATACTCTCACTGAAAAATAAATTACAGATTGACTAAAAGTCAAATGTAAAAAAAAAAAAAGAGAGGGGCACCTGGGTGGCTCAGTTGTTAAGCGTCTGCCCTCAGCTCCGGTCATAATCCCAGGGTCCTGGGATTGACCCCGCATTGGGCTTCCTGCTCAGTGGGAAGCCTGCTTTTCCCTCTCCCCCACTTGCGTTCTCTCTCTCGCTTTGTCTCTCTCTGTCAAAAAAAAAAAAAAAAAAGAGAAAAGCTATTAAAAATACTAGAATATAGAATATTTTAAGACTTAGATTGAGGAAGCAAGACCTAAAACTCAAAAGCAGAAGAGTAAAGACTGACAGATGGGACTACTGAAATACGTAAATATGTATATCAAAGGGTATCATTCACAAAGTTAAAAATGTTAGGAACGTACATGACAATGAACCTATTGCTTTAATATACAAAGAGTTCATATGAATCAATAAAAAAATTTCAGTAATTTTAAAGAAAAATGGTCAAAGGCCAAAAATAGCTCACAGAAAAATAAAAATAGGCAATAAATATATGTAAAGTTACTTGACTGAAAAAGTGCAAATTTTAAGGATAAATAATGCAATGCTATTTCAGTTTTTAATGCCAATTATAAACTCAAAATCACTAGCAATATCCAGTGTTGATGTAGACATGGGGAAATGGATCAGTGGGAATTAAAATTGTAGAGTGCTTTTGGAGAATAACAATCTGAAAATTTTAATTGTAACCTTTAAGTGAAAAATTTGATGAGGAAAGTTATTTTAGCTGTTTATGTTGATAAGGTTATACATTTTTAAAAAAACATAAATACATATTTGCTGTCTACAGGATTTGACAAAGCACAAGCAGAAACAATTGTATCAGCATTAACCACTTTATCAAATGTCAGCCTGGATAGTATCTACAAGGAGATGGTTACTCGAGCTCAACAGGTAATATTTTCATTATTATCAGTTCTGACAGTTTCATCAGTCTTTTTTATACTGCATCTCTTGACTACCCACCCACCTTCTAAACACACCTACATCTTCCTTATACTCTACAAGGGAACCAAAGAACAAAAAGCAAAACCCTTTAATAAAGTCACTATCTAAAGAGATCGAGGAGGGGACACCTGGGTGGCTCAGTCGTTAAGTGTCTGCCTTCGGCTCAGGTCATGATCCCAGGGTCCTGGGATCGAGTCCCATGTCAGGCTCCCTGCTCAGCGGGGATTCTGCTTCTCCCTCTCCTACTTGTGTGCCTGTTCTCATTATCTCTGTCAAATACATAAAATCTTAAAAAAAATAGAGATTGAGGAGTTAGAAGAGTCAATAAAATTATGGTAGCACAGAGAATAAAATTTTGTCAAATGTTTTGTTATGTGAGAGAATTATGTATTATTTGAAATATTTGAGGTGGTGGTGGTGGTAGATGATTTGTGAAATAACTTTTTCCCCATAGAAAACCTACCACAGTAGAAAAGCTAACTTATAAGATAAAAACATTTTGGGGGTGCCTGGGTGGCTCAGTTGTTAAGTATCTGCCTTCGGCTCAGGTCATGATCCCAGGGTCCTGGGATCAAGTCCCACTTCGGGCTTCCTGCTCCGCGGGAAGCCCGCTTCTCCCTCTCCCACTCCCCCTGCTTGTGTTACCCCTCTCGCTGTCCTCTCTGTCAAAAAATAAATAAAATATTAAAAAAAAAAAGATAAAAACATTTTAGTGTAGTCATGTGTATGTTCTGGTTAACTTTCACGAACTTAGAAAGCTAGAAGGGACGTAAACATGGCTGGGAACAACTTCATTAGTATGCTTTTATTTGGATACACAAATCCTTAAGGTGAAATAATGCCATTTACTAAGAACTTAGGATGAGAGATGCACAGAGCTGTGGATTTCTCATGTATTATCTTATGTAATTCCTATAACAATCTTGAGAAGTAGGTAGAATTATTCTACTTTGCCACTGAAGAATGAATCGGGTTGAGTAATTTTTAAGAGCTGTCACTGTGGTGCTATGGAGAAAAAGCAATAATTTTATATAAAGCATAGAATAAGCTAAATGAGCTTAACTGTGGAATAATTCATAGAACTCATAATAATTCATGAATTAATTCACTGTGTTTAAGAATTTGTTTCCTTCCTATAATTTTATATATATATATAAAAGATATATTGATATATATCAGTTATATCTCCCTCCCCCCCCTTTGGAGTTGATACTTTATTTTTACTTAGGAATTAAGATTTGTCTTTTTTATTCCTCCTTTCCCAAGTGATACACTGTTAAAAATGTGGTTTACAATTTGTAGAAACACTCTTTTTTAGCATTTATTATTGAAATATAATTGATATACAATATTGTATTAGCTTCAAGTGTACAAAGTAGTGATTTGACAATTCTGTACATTACTTAGTGCTCCCCTATGATATATGTAGTCACTGTCTGTCACTATACAATGTTTTTACAATGAATGTTATTGACTATATTCCCTATGCTGTACTTTTTATCTCCAGGATTTATTTATTTTATAACTGGAAGTTTATACCTCTTAATTCTCTTTACCTATTTCACCCATTCCCCCACTTCCACCCCTCTGGCAACCACTAGTTCTTCTGTTTCTGCTTTTTTTTGTATTTGTTTTGTTTCTTAGATTCTACATATAAATGAAATTATATAGTGTTTGTCTTTCTCTATCCGATGTATTTCACTTAACATAATACCCTCTGGCTCTATCCATGTTGTAACAAATGGCCAGATCTCATTCTTTTTCATAATTGAGTATTACTCCATTGTATATATACCACTTCTTTATACATTCATCTCTCCATGGACACTTGGTTTCCTTCCATATCTTGGCTATTGTAAATAAGGCTGCAATAAACCTAGGAGTGCATATATCTTTTAAAAAATTAGTTTTCATTTTCTCTGGTAAATACCCAGTAATGGAATTACTGGATAATGGTATTTCTATTTTTAATTTTTTGAGGAATCTCTATACTGTTTTTCACAGTGATTGCGTCAGTTTACATTCTCACTAGTAGTTCACAAGGGTTCTCTTTCTTTCTACATTCTTATGAACACTTGTATTTCGTGTTTTGATAGCCATTCTGACTGGTGTGAGATGATCTCTCACTGTGGTTTTGATTTGCATTTCCCTGAGAATTAGTGATGTTGAGCTTCTTCATATGTCTGTTGGCCATCTGTATGTCCTCTTTGGAAAAATGCTTATTCAGTTCCTCTACCCACTTTTTTTTTTTCATGAATAATTTGTGAATTAATTCACTGAATTTAAGAATCTGATTTATCTTTTTTTAATTTTTCAGATTTAGGTTTCCTTTCTCAGATAAATATTTAACAGCAGAGAAAAATTAGGATTTCTTTCTTACATAAAATTAGAACCTTTTGCATAAAATTTCAATGCTTAAAGAGTCATGAAGCATTGAAAGCTTTTAAAAATTTTACTGTCATTTCCAGTTAATTAGACTTTAGAATTAAAAGCATTCAACCCTTTAGATTTCACTTACCTTTAAATTTTTGTGTGCATTATTTTAGCTTTATTCAGGATCATGACAGACTACTAAATCCACTAAAAACAAAAAAAAAAAAAAAAACCTGTCATTTAATTAATTCCCCAGAACCTCTGAGCTACTCTGAAAGAGCTAATGAAGCTACTGACATTTTTTTTAAAGGTATAAGAAATTAATTTTTCAGGTTCTTCTCAAATATAAAATCAACTTTCCACATACTCAGTGAATATTAAACTTGAAAACAAAGCACTGTAAGTAATTTATCTTTTTTATGAAGTTTTTAATCTTTATTCCTATAAACAATGTTATGTTAGTATCAGATGTACAGTATAGTGATTGACCAGTACAGTATAGTGATTGACCAATTCTATACAGTACTCAGTGCTCATCATAAGTGTACACCTATTTCATCATAAGTGTACACCTATTTCACCCTCTTGTAACCATTAGTTCTCCATAGTTAAGAGTCTGTTGCTTGGTTTATCTCTCTCTCTTTTTTGTTTTTAATCTTTGCTTGTTTGTTTTGTTTCTTAAATTCCACATATGAGTGAAATCATATGGTATTTGTCTTTCTCTGACTGACATATTTCACTTAGCATTGTGCTCTACCTCCATGTTGCTGTAAATGGCAAGATTTCATTCTTTTTTATGGCCAAATAATATTCCATTGTATATATATATCTTTATATATCACCATATCTTCTTTATCCATTCATCAATTGATGGACACTTGGGCTGCTTCCATAATTTGGCTATTGTAGATCATACTGCGATAAACATAGGGCACATGTATCCCTTTGAATAAGTATTTTTGTATTTTGGGGGTTAAATACTCAGTAGTGCGATGACTGGTTCATAGGGTAGCTCTTTTTCATTTTTCGAGGACCCTTCATACTGTTTTCCACAGTGGCAACACCAGTCTGCATTCCTACCAGCAGTGCAGGAACGTTCCTTTTTTCTCCACATGCTCACCAACATTTGTTGTTTCTTGTTGAGTTTAGCCATGAGGTGTTATCTCATTGTAATTTTGATTTGCATTTCCCTCATGATAACTGATGTTGATTAGGCATCTTTTCATGTGCCTGTTGGCCATCTGTGTATCTTCCCTTGGAGAAATGTCTGTCATGTCTTCTGCCTGTTTCTTAATTGGATTATTTGTTTTTTTGGGGTGTTCAAGTGTCTAAGTTCCATACATATTTTGGATACTAACCCTGTATTGAACATGTCATTTGCAAATATCTTCTCCCATTCAGTATGTTGCCTTTTAGTTTTGTTGAGTATTTCCTTTGCTGTGCAGAAGCTTTTTACTTTGACGTAATCCCAATAGTTTATTTTTGTTTCTATTTCCCTTGCCTTGAAAAACATATTTTAAAAAAATGTTGCTACTGCCAGTGTCAGAGAAGTTACTGCCTGTGCTTTCCTCTAGGACATAGTTTTGGGTGTTACATCCATTTTGAGTTTATTTTTGGTATGGTGTAAGAAAGTGGTCCAGTTTCATTTTTTTGCATGTAGCTGTCCGGCTTTCCCAGCACCCTTTGTTGAAGAGGCTTTTTCCCATTGCATATTGTCTCCTGCTTTGTCAGAGATTAATTGACCATATAATTGTGGGTTTTTTCTGGTCTCTCTGTTCTGTTTTTATGCCACTACCATACTGCTTTAATTACTACAGCTTTGTAATATAACTTGAAGTCTGGAATTGTGTACCTCCAGTTTTGTTTTGGTTTGTTTTTCAAGATTGCTTTGACTATTCAAGGTCTTTTGTCATTCCATGCTAATTTTAGGATTGTTTGTCCTAGTGCTGTGCAGAATGCTCTTGGTATTTTGATAGGGGTTGCATTAAATGTGTAGATTGCTTTGGGTAGTATAGACATTTTAACAATATTTATTCTTCCAATCCATGACTATGGAATATATATATATATATTTTAAGATTTTATTTATTTACTTGAGAGAGAGCTGGGGAGAGAGCACCAGCTGGGGGGAGTGGCAGAGGGAGAGTGATAAGCAGACTCCCCCACTGGGCAGGGAGCCCAATGCAGGGCTCACTTCCAGGACCCTGGGATCATGACCTGAGCCAACACAGATGCTTAACCAACTGAGCTACCCAGGCACCCCCATCTTTGCATTTCTTAAATTTCTTTCGTCAGTGTTTTAGAGTTTTCAGAGTAGTCTTTCACCTCCTTGGTTAAGTTTACTCTTAGGTATTTTATTATATTTGGTGCAACTGTAAATGGGATTATTTTCTTCATTTCTCTTTCTGCTGTTTCATTATTAGTGTATAGAAATGCAACAGATTTCTGTACATTGATTTTGTATCCTACAACTACTGAATTCATTTATCAGTTCTAGTGGTTTTGGGTGGAGTCTTTCGGGTTTTCCATATATAGTATGTTATCTACAAATAGTGAAAGTTTTCATTTTTCCT